CCGAAACGTCAGCCTCTCTGCTCCTATGATGCTGCTTGGCCTGCTGTGTTCATCCAGCCCTGCACCTTGTTGTCTCGGATTCTCCAGCATCTGCAGTTCCTACTATCTCTTACCAGGACGTTGCCTGGATGGACCATTTCAGCCGAAAAGAGAGGCTAGATAGTTCTACACCTTTTTATCTAGGTAGCTGGGGTTGTTTTCCTTAGAACAGAATAGGCTGAGAGGGGGTCTTGACTGAGGTGCATGTACTTATGAGGGGCATAGGTAAGGTAGTTAGGGAGAACTTTTTCCTCTTAGCATCAATAAGCATGGGGCATAGATTTACGGTAAAGGGCTAGAGGTGTAGGGAGGATTTAAAGAAGTATTTTTTCACCCAGAGGAACTCATTGTCTGTGGAGATGATTGAGATTTGGAACCATCATAACATTTAGATAGTATTTAGCTGATAACTTGAAACACCATAGCATACAATGCTACAGGCCAAGTACTGGAAAATAGGACAACAGTAGAAAGGTGATTCATGACTGACATGGACACGATGGGCTGAAGGGTCTCTTTCCATGCTGTAAAACATTATGACCCTATGATCTTGCACAGTGGCTCTGAAAGGATCACATGCAGAATAAAAGTTTCTCTCAATTGTGGAGGTTGATGGAATTGACAAGTTTCACAAGACTTGATGAGCTGATCAAAATCTTTATTGATGTTGAGCCAATAGATGGACTTAGGCACCAATCACCTGTCTTTTTCTGCAGCCATGTGACCTGTACATGTATGATCTAGCATCTCCTGAAGTAGAGCTTCTGGATTTACCACTTGTTTGGTATTAAAAATTACATTCCTAGGGAGTCCCACTTCACCTCTGATTGGCCAGAATGAGGATGCTTGGAGACATGTTAAGTGTCAGTCCTTCTGCTGGTGATCATCATTTAGAGCTGTTGCCGCAGATCATCAGACATAGCTTGCTAAATTTACTCAGCTTGGCTGTAAACAAACTGTATGAGATTTATGATGAGACTGTCCTCGCATTCACATTCAATAATATCCACTTGTGGGTCTAAAGGAATATCTTTTTTCCTAGAAGGGTTTGGAATCCTGCTAATGAAATAAAAAATAATCATTTGAGAACCTAGTCCGTACAGTGCTTCTACATCTTATCCCAAGATCTTCACAAGTCGTCATGGAGGGGTCAGAGTGGTACACATGTGTGTGGCTTTTGGTAGAGCATTTCTAATGGTTGTGGCTGTTGTGAAATTGCTGAATTTTAACACATTTCTGAGAAATTGAAAATTATGCAGGTAATTTACCTGCAATATATATGGTATGCTTTTGCGGGGAATATCTTGAAAAGAAGATACTTTGTTTGCAAATTCTGGAATGTAAGGGGATAAAAAGTCAAAGAAACTAAGACATCTTTAGAAGTCAGCTTCATATTGTGGTGTAATCATCTTCTGTATATCTTCTGTTTTGGTAGAATCAGGTCTAAAAATGAGTAGAGACCATATATTTCCTATTTTCTATATTTTTGATGGTAGACATAGATGGGAAAAGGACTATTTTAAAAGCTAAGGATTTTGGAAAGGATTATGATTCTTTTTAAAAGCAAGTGACGTAACAATCATTGTGAGTGCTATTCACATTGCTGCTTGTTCAAGTGGTGATGGAAATTAGTACAACAAACTGAAGCCAGGGTGTGTGTACAAATGGTGATTTGGCTGGTGACAGATAGCTGATTGGTCTGTGGGGTGGTGACCATCTGTTGATGTCAAAGGCCTTCTGCCTGCCAACAACTATGTGTTTGCCTCCCAGGTAGCTGAACAGCTTGTGGGTGTGAATCTTTGGTTAGAAGCCATTGGACCTTCCAAAGGAAGGGGCTGTTGTTTCTTTCCTCTGCTGTAATAATTACCTCAAGCCCAAAGAGAGTCAATTTATTTTCCCTCATCAGCCGCTGTAAACTGTGGCTCTTAATAAATAAATCAGAGACTTTGTCAATATGAACAAGTTGCTCTGTTCCTCCTGCAAACAAATGAAATTACCTGGAGAAAGAAGATTGAGGAGCATTAGCCAAAAGGATCACCTGAGTGAAAAGCCTGTGGCTAGGGACTATTGACAGACCTTCCTAGTCATTCCCTATGCCCATAACACCCATTTTTTTTCCTGTGTCTGTGTGTAAGTGCACAGTGGGTGTTTCATAAGGGAGCTAGAGCTTTAACTAGTAGAATTGTATATTGATGTTTCATAATTATTTATCTATTTATTTGTGATAAATAGTAATTCTTGTTAACTATAGAAACCTGGTCCAGGCTTTCTGTTTACCTGGGTCCAAAAGAGAAGTAAATTGGGGAACTTTGAGTAAATTTAAAAAATTTTTCATTTTATGATGACTCTAGGAATAAGTGAGGACTGATTTCCAGTGAGACATAACACAGTTGACGAGTAGATTGAAGAAATTGATTTAGTTCATGGTGATTTGATGATTTTACAGTTGAAAACAAAACCATATTTTGCTGCCATTGTCATGAGATTGCGAAGGTTTGTATCATCCTCATGTTTAGTTTTTCTGAGATGTGTCTTTAATACCTTGGTAGATCTTCAATGATACAGATCTAGATATTGTTGGAATTTGTCCTGGCTGATGGATAACTCAAATGATAATCCAAGGAAAAGATTTCTACTGACTGACGTTCGAAAGTTGTCAGTTCTTGTGCTCCAGGGAAGGTTGTATGGATCATTGTTCAATCTTCAAAATCTTTTTTTTCAATATTCTGTCTAACTGGATCTAAACATATCATGCCATATTTCTACACATGTAATTGAGCTGCACCATTCAGTATGATGCTTAACTTTTCAGATGATATTTGGAACTCTCTTCCACAAATGTTAGTGGATGTTGGATCAGTTGCTAATTATAAATTTGAGATAGATAAAAGCAAAAGTATTAAGGGATATGGGCCAAAAGCAGGTTTATGGAGTTAGGTCATAGATCAGCCTTAATCTCATTGAATGGCAGAACAGACTTGAGGGGCTGAATGGCCTACTCATCTTCCTATGTTCCTATGTTGTTTTGTATCATGGAATTCAATTGCAGTTTGGGATATACTTGATTGTGAATGATACACCGATGAGGACTGTTGATGGTGGGTTGAGCTTTGTCTTTCAGAAGAACATAGTTTCATCTTTGAAGTTGCCAATAGCATTATGCCTGGCTAAAGGTTAGTCAGGAGATGGACAGAGCTGATGGCGTGGTCTGGAATCAGTGGCGTGGCAACTGATGGGTTTGGTAACTCATGGATTGTAAGAATGTGTATATCCATGCATACAGGTAGGCCAATAACAGCTGGTGTTTCAATAATGTAAACACTTTTCCGTGTTAAAATTGAGCAATTATACTGACATTTAAGATAAATAATGCCAGTGCATGTGATAACACACCTGATATAAGCATTTGCTAATTTGTGGAGTGCACCTGAGTGCTGGCTTCCTGAGTACATCTCTTGCAAGATTTTTAAGTGGATGACATCTGCACTTATGCCAGTTTCAATTTTGGCATTTAGTACATATTATTAATTCTTTTTGGAGAGTGTCACTTGATGGAGTCAAAGGCTTCAATTATTCTGATGGTGTCCATGTTGTGTGTCACATTGGTCACATGCACTGTCTGACTGGGGTCTACGAGCTGTAATATTGTAGATAATTCTTGGACTTCATTGACATGCTTATGTTGCATGGTTGGAACTTTGGAACCATCCTTTGTGTTGTTCCTTGGCTGACCCTTCTTCACATACTGCTGTGGAGCATAGAGTGGCATTTTGGATTTCTTGCACATTTTAGCCCGATATTCTCTATAGAACATAGCTTGTACATGTCACAAAATGCTGGACACTGCTTTGATAGGTGAAACAAGCCATGTGTTTACAGGTGTCAATAAAAAGAGAGGCAGGACTGTTCATTCCAACTCTAGTGTGCTCCTGAGGATCATTGATGATCGCTGATCAGTTGACCAACCTCTCTTTCATCCCCTGACTGCTGTCCTCTCCTCAACGTTATCTCTAAGACATGCCTGAGGTCACTGCCAGTGAGAGAACTGGCCCAAATGTATTCTCCTGGAATGGGATGAACTGCCTTGTGAGGAATACCAGTCACCAGGTACTCTCAAAAAATACTGGAACGAGCCCATTGACCCAGCAATGCCTTCCAATTGGTGTCAGTGTTGCCAGCACAGTTGTGATTCTGGAACCAAAATGGACTTGAATGAATCTCTACTCAATTATTTCTATGAATGCATCTTTGAGTTGAACTCTACAATCTACATATTTAGGAATGTTACACTAAAGATATTTCTCTCTGTTGTCACACTTTTTGCAAAGCTGTGTGATGTTCTGTTTAGAAGAACAGAAGTAACAGAGCAATTTTGCACAGTTGTTTCAATTTTCTTCAGCTTTCCAGCAAACCCTTACCGATTCAAATAATTTCCCCCTTTCTTCTTCCCTTTCCACTTTCCTGAAAGGATAGGCTGATGTCTAATTCTCTGTGATTGGTGCTTTTTAAGTGCCTGTAGCAGATGAATGAGATGAACCGACGTGACTCATCAAAAGTGTGTCCTCTCTGTTGCTGCAGCAACGTTCACTTTTAACTTACAACGTTTTCTGAATGGTATCATTCTGACCAGAAACTCCAAGCGCACGTACAATTTAATCATGATATATAGTAAATTTAATAAATGGACAAGTGCAATAAACTTTTGATGTATGATTTAATAATTTTCAAGAAAAAAATCATTTGGCTTCCTTTGCAGCATTTGGGTTTCTGCACAGCATCTTTTGATTCGGAGAGCCCTGATGATGATGCGGTTGATGTGAACTGTGACATTTATGCAACAAAGGTAGTTACACTGAACTTTATCTGCACAATTCCTTTTATTCATTTGGATCTCGGGAAAGTCCAGGACTCAGTATATTATTGATTCATTCTATGAATGTTCACAGTTATTCCCGTGGTTCCTTTTCCACTTTAAAGTCTGCTTCTGACTGCTGTCTTACATGTCATGACTATATTGTCCTTTTTAACATTTATGACAGATTTGATTATAATATGGCTCTGCAACTTTTTTTCTGCTTAATTATTGTTCTCATGTCGATATTGGATTTGGATTTCAAGAAATTTCTCCTGAAGCATCATCAAGTAGAAATGTGTGTTTGTTATGTCTGTTTTTAGTGGAACAGGGTAAAAAGGATCAATTTTGGTGATAGTGCCCATTCAATCAGCACCTGATGATGGAATGCTTAAGGAAGAAAGCTTGGTCTTCATTGCAGTTAGGCATTAAGGTCCCTTGCATATGTAAATTCAGGAACTAACAGCTGTTGAAGGACTCTTCTGTAAAAACTGAATTAATGATGAATGGAGCAGGTTTTAGATTTGCATAATTCAGACGTCTTCAACAATGCTGTCAACATGCAACTGCCATGGTTTCAGCCCCTAATACCCACTCTAAACCCCTGCTGTCTATAGGATTTAACTTCAAGATGCTACAGTCTGGACTAGAAGCCCAGCATTTGGCACTTGCAATAAAAACAAACTTCCTGTGAGGGCCTGACAGACAGCGATGCTTTCTCTTTTCTCTCTCTCTTCTCACTTAAAATGCTGTTAGAGCTGATGGCATAGTTTTGAGCAGCCTAACTCGTGGGTTGAATTTCAAATGAATTTGTATCCTGTTTTTGCATGTAATAGCTTCTTTTCCTCATTCTTGTGTGTCTGTCAATGTGCAACTAGCTTTTTTTATAAGTTAATAACTAATTTTCTTCAGCAGTAATGTTAGTATCAGATCAGAACTATGCTTTAACTCAGAGACTACTCCACCATTCTCCTACCTCTGTTAAGGTTCCTTCTGATGTGTGTTTAGCTAACCTCTTGAAACGTTTGGGCTGGATCTTACATCTGAAATTTGGGAGAGCTTCTCCCCTCACCAATCCCGCAAAATGTAAAATTGGACATGATGATGTCAAATTGGGAACCCAACATCACCTGGCAGTTCTCAAAATGAGAAAGCTTACAGAAGTGAACATTGATGAGTGGAAATTGGCAGCCTTCCCAATATTTTGAAATGACTAATTAATGCGCTGCTGGGTTGTTAATGACACAGTTGCTCATTGTCCTTGATGTTTCCCAGGCATTGCCATGAAAGGGTTGGTGGTGTTTTACAGCAGCTGTGAGAAGAAGCAAGGTGGGAAGATCAAGCCTGCCACAGAGACCGTGGCTGAAAAATGACCTTAGTTCCGTTGGTGGCAGTGTCTGAATGGTTTCCTTAAAATTATTTGTGAAGTTTTTTTTTGAACGTTCAATAAAAGATACAGAGACATTCATGATGCAGAGGACCTGTAGGCATGTAACCATAATTGAATTTCCTTACGTGGCATTTTCCATCTGCAGCCTGATGACCCAGTCTATGTCCTCACTGAGCAGACAGCCATCCCTCTGTTTGCACTTCTAGTCAGCCTCCTTCCCACTTGATGAAGCATCACAATTGCAAGGCTTATTTTGATGAACTGAGATGCAGGGGGTCATGGACCACTCAATTCCCATTCTGCTCCCTTGCGCCAACGAATTTTAAAATGGCTCATAGAATGGGAGAGGGACTGATTGCACTTAGAGTCATAGAGTCATACAGCATGGAAACAGACCCTTCAGTTCAATTTGGTGATGCTGACCAGATATCCTAAATTAATCTAGCCCCTTTTGCCAGCATTTGGCCCATATCCCTCTAAACCCTTCCTATTCATATTACCATCCAGACGCCTTTTAAATGTTGTAATTGTATCAGCCGCCACAACTTCGTCTCGCAGCTTATTCCATACACACAGCACCCTCTGCATGAAAAAATTGCCCCATCGGTCCCTTTTAAGTCGTTCCCTTCTCATCTTAAACCTATGCCCTCAGTTTTGGACTCTCCCACTCTGAATAAAAGACCTTGGCTGTTCACTCTTTCCATGCCCCTCATGATTTTATAAACCTCTATAATGTCATCCCTCAGCCTTCAATGCTCCAGAGAGAAAAGCCCCAGCTTATTCAGCCTCTTCCTATACTCAAACCCTCCAACCCTGGCAACATCCTTCTTAAACTTGAAAAGGTTCAGAAAAGATTTGCATCATCTTTCCTTTAGCAAAGAGACCAGAAGTGAACGCAATATTCCAAAATTGGCCTAACCAAAGTCCTGTATCGCTGCAACATGACATCTCAACTCGTTTACTCACTGTTCTGACCAATGAAGGCTACTATTTTTAAGGATTTGTGTGGGCAGAAACTTTGAGGGGACTGTTATTAGATTTTTAATTAAAATTCTAGATTGAATTAGAATCAAAAGCAACTCTAAAATAATTATTGTTGACGGGAACAACAGAAAGTAGACACTTATGACTAGTCGTCTGATAATTCTATATTGTAAATTGACTTTTCTAGGGCGATTGACACTTTTAAATTCAGCAAGCATGTTTTTTATTTTATTACAGGGAGTCACAGTCCGAGGATTAAGTGGGCAAGTGGAGCCTCATGAGGACAATTATCCAGATGGAGAACAGATATTTAAACCCAAGCTCAAGAGATCCATTTCCAAATCCAAATGGCAGAAGATGAAACGGCCAGGGAGGAAAGACTCATCTTCATCAGAGTCATCAGAGGAACAACAAATGCGGAGGCATCATGGCCCTTTCAGACATCCCACCATTCATTATCACATTTTCCCAAATCTCCCTCCACATCCATACACCTGTCCAGGTCAACCCAGGTATGTCCTGAGAACTCAGTAACCAAATAGGGAAGAGACAAAGACATAAACAGAAAGCAAGAAAGGAAAGGGAAAACTTTGTTCTTCAGTGTATGGGACGTGATGGGGTAGAAGTACTGATTGTAAGTTTAAACACAAGTTGATCATGATTTTCCATCTAAATATGGAATCTGTTTGAACTTATCTCCTTCAACTACTAACAAGCTGATAGAAAATACTAAAAAAAAGACAGTGTTCATGGTGGATTCTTTCAATTGGAAATGTGTGAAGAATTGCCCTGAATTTCTGTTTTTAACTTCTCCATAATCATGAATTTCAAGATGAAAATTAATCTGAGATAAGGGGCAGAGATTAACGTTACAATTTGTATAACAATAGGCTTTCTTAAAAATTTAAAGATAACTTTTCATTAAAAAAGAACGTCAGCTGTTATTCGTGTGTATGTGTAGGCATTTCTTCCGAAAGATTACTTGAAATAAAATGCACTGTAATCTTCACCTTTTGTTTTTACTCTAATTGTCTAATTATGAAACAACTCCAACTTGGCACACAATGGCACTCACAACTTATTTATTTGTTAATGATCATTTTAAAAAAGTCAGGAAACTTTTCTTTCTTAATTTCAACCTGGAAGTAAGGTAATGGGATGAATTTGTTTTCCTTTATTCATTCACAGGATGAGGGCATCACTAGTTGGCCAGCATTTATTGCCCATCCCTAAATGCCCAGAGGGCAGTTAAAGTCAACCATATTGCAGTGAGCCTGGAGTCACTTGTAGTCCAGACCAGGTAAGGATGGCAGTTTCCTTCCCTAAAGGACATGAGTGAACCAGATGGGTTTCTGTGACAATTGACAATGGATTCACAGTCATCATTAGGTTCTTAATTTCAAATATTTGTTAAATTCAAATTCCACCATCTGCCATGGCAGGATTCAAACCTGGGACCCCAGATCATTATCTGTTTCTCAGGATTAACAGTCCAGCAATAATACCACTAGACCATCACCTCCTCTCAAATGGTGAGTGACAACAAGAAGAGTTCTAATTGAGAGTTTGGGCCTAAATTATGGTTTGGACCGACAATAGTCAACTTTGTCTAGATGTAACAAAAACAGAGAAATTGCTGGCAAAGCTCGACAGGTGTGGCAGCATCTGTGGAGAGAAATCAGAGTTAATGTTTCAGGTCGAATGACCCTTTCTCAGAACCAAGGGTCACTCGACCCAAAACATTAACTCTGATTTCTCTCCACAGACGCTGCCAGACCTGCTGAGCTTTTCCAGCTATTTGTGTTTCTGTTTCTGATTTACAGCATTCGCAGTTCTTTCAGTTTTTATTTGCTTAGATGTATTCTTTGAGGTTTCATCACATGACATAGCCTACTTTCCAGCATTAGTCAATCAGCATCTCCATCTTTGTGATGCAATGCCTCCCTACGTCAATTGGAAAGCAAAAAGATTAAATTAACCAATTGGATTATGCTTGATTCTTAGCTAAATGGCCTTTATTCCCCCATTATATTTTTATCAGTGGGAAAGAGAAAAGTTCAGGAGCAACGCTGCAAACTTTAGATGCAACTGCTCTAACACTTAATTTGGAATAGCTTTTTGTAGATTTTAACAATTGGGACAAAAAGTCATTCCATTTGTGGTAAACCACAATTTGAGGTTTATATTGCCTCAGATGGGTCCTAGACACACAAGGCCATTGATTAGTGTGAGGACATTTCTGAAAATCAATTGGATTCTACAGGCTCCGACAGACACTCCAAATATCTCAGCAACTGCTTCTAATTGATCTCTATGCATAGAATTAAAAGGCCAGGCATGAATGATTAAATAAACAGATATTGCATTTGTTTTGTAACACAGAAGGATTCTTGGTAAACCAAGATGGAGGATGGGAAAATGTTGCGGCTGTAAGAGCAGCTCCTTTTTTGAGGTATTTTCAGTGTTGGAGCTGATTTTCTTGAATTCTCGGAGCAATGATTACTGTTTTATAACTTTGTGGTTAAAAAAGTCAAAACAATGGCACTTCAAAAAGGAGAAAGACAGACAAAGGGCAGTGACCACATTAACAGTGATTCAGCAGAGAAAGAAACCTACAGTGCTGTCTGACCCAGCAGTAATCTGCATAGTTACTGCCTCTGCTGTCTGTTTTCAAGTATCTCTGGACATCGGAGTTTGTTCTAAGAAAAATGAATAAACAGTGAATTTCACAGCTGAACTTGGAGAAACCTGTGTGAGGGAGCTCACACCAAGGGAGCAACTAAGAGATAGCAAGAGCTGCAGATGCTGGAATCTGAAATAACAAGGTGCAGAGCTGGATGAACACAGCAGGCCAGGCAGCATCAGAGGAGCAGGAA